ATTGATATGTACAGTAGCTTACAAGTACAGTACTGTCAATAACTGTTGTTCTGCTTTAATTAGTGAAACATGTTTTATGCCTTTTTTAGGAAGACATTAACAAACAAAAATAGCTATCAATGTAGGATTTGATGACGTCAATGCATCATTTTAGTGTTTTCATGAAATGACAGTGAATTGTAGTGGAATTCATTAAATAATAGTGATTAATCTATTCTTAAATCCTTTCTAAAGAATTTAGTACAGGGTACATTAACACACAAAAAAAGTTAAAATTTGACCTATTAACGATGATATTTCAACCAAAATAAAATGGCAATGTTATAAATACTTACCAGCCTTAAGCACTACATACACATGTTTTGAAACTTTAGTTTTTCCTTAACCGAAAAGAATCTGATAAAGTATTAAGTCATATATATAACATTTCGTTATAATGAAATTGAAATGTATTGGTAAGTCCTTGAATATCATTGTTGTTTTCAGTTAATACAATTATTCATTGCCGCTCCCATCATGTGTTGAAATTCAGATAAACAGATAAAATATTCCCACGCAACACATTAATAAAATATGTTACCTGTAATTGAGAGAGATCAGGTTATCTCAGTCAAGGGCTAAGATTCTGTAACATAACCCATGCCGAGGCGTAAGCCGAGGTTGGGATGTTACAGAATCTTAGCCCGAGACTGAGATAACCCGATAATGCTCAGTTATAGGTAAATGATTTTTTTCTCGCACCTTTTAGTTTGAAAAAAAAGTATTCAACTTTGCTAAATTATCCCGTCTTGGGCCTTAAATAATAATGACCTCTACACTATTTAAGCTGCTTTTGAATGCTTTCGCGTCAAAATGTCGTCCGTCCTTACAAAGAAACATGCGTATTTCACAGTGTAGATAATATTTTATCTACAACATCAGATATCTAACAACTTCAAAACAATAAATATCACGACATAACGGAATATTTATAATGCATATTGTCAATTTCAAGCCGATGAATACATCGCAGTGTTGTCACGTAAAGTTACCAGACAGATCGGACGAAATAGACAAATCTAGCATGGGATATGACGTGGGTTATCGCTGTCTGAGGTGCGAGGAAACTATTTCTTAGTTTGTTGAAAGTTTACCACGTACTTTTCCACTCTTAAACATTAACATTCAGACCAGGAAATAGACTTTCGATATATAGATAGCGGCAACAAAAGCATCCGTTCTATGGAACATCATGGTGACTTGTTGATATATGTGTAACATAGAAGATTTTCATTAATCCAAGCGAAGTTAAGTGAAAAGGTTTCTTTCTATGAACGAACATTTAATGACTGGTTAGAAAACAATTACGTGTCTCAATACCCGCTACAGAATCTTTTTATTTAATAAGTGTAAAGAAATGGTTATGGAATTGGACATGATTGGACTAACAATGTCATGTATACAAAGGAAGTAAGTCACAAGATGTCTGAGACATTCTACACGATTCTATATTTGTGAATTATTTTTACAATCTTGCAGAAACCTTAAATGTATTGAACCTCTAAACATGCCATTCATATACTTGTTAGAACGCTGTACCGATATGTACGTAGGCACGGTAGTCTAGTGGTAGAACGCCGGGCTCGTCACCGATGGGTTGCGGGTTCGATTCACGTCACCGCACTGTGTTATATTTTTGAACAAGATACCCACTCCGCTTGTTCCAGTCTACTCAACTGTAAATGACTATGTGGTTGGTAACATATATATCTCTGTCGTACAGCAGTGTTGTCCTTCTGGGACACATCAGACCACTGTTGAAATAGAAAATCAATTTCTCACTTTGTATAACGAAATTGAATACATGTAATAAGAGTAATTATTTGATGCACCGTACACACATATTGACGTGACGAATAAGAAGGGTATTATACTGATGATACATCCAAGCATACGCGTCTGATAAATATATAATCTGAAATATTATCCTTGACAGTTTCATAAGCATCATGTATCAGTATTTATAGGGGAAAATGTTTAATGTGTTTTAAGAGATATTGATGATACTATAAACAAGTTGTAATGTAATACCCATCAAATGTCACGAACTACGCTAAACCTGGATTATTGTTGTATGTGGTAATATTAATAGCGATTTACATGACAGTTTCCACTGACATCACCACAGGTATAAGCTGGGTCCATTTGATACGTATACGTACACGGACACTATGGAAGAGATCCATATGAAGGAAAAGCTGTGTTGATAGTTAAACACGAATTTCATTTTTATCATATATACCTAGTAAACTTATGTTTATATATAGGTCATAATTCCTTTATCAATAGTGATACATAGACAACCATGTATTTTTGGATATTTTCTAGTTTAATAAAACAAATATATGTTTCAGTTATAGGTGTATGTGTTCCGCTGATCTCTTAACTCTGGTGTTAATCTTCTTTGCGAATGCTATTCAACGAAATTTTCGTGAGAAATTCAATTCGCTAAAAATGACAAACATTTATATATACCATGAATGTTCCAAAAACATCTACTTTTTTTCCAAATCTAAATATCTAAAACAATAAAAATACAACGTACACGCAGAACAGTAAAATAACTATAAAAATAATGGATTCATTTTTTCTAGAGTTTCTTTTTTCCCTGTGTGGTTTTGTGAATATAGATACAAATGTATGCTTGTATTTCATTTAAATCAAGTTTCTTGGTCAGATTCTGGATTAATTAAGAAAATATAGAAAATCCTCCGTGGGTAAACGTCATATGTTTGGCACGTGCAATCGAACATCAAAACAAGGTAGACAGACATTCAACGAAATCAAAATTTAAAAGAATGAAAAAACAAAACATAACTCAAACTAAAGTATATAAGAAGTGATTAATTCTTCAGTCACCTTGGACCAGAGTCACGTGAAGTGACCGCTTATCGTTCCGTAGGACCGTAGTAGTTTCCTTCACTGCCTTTTGTTTTTCCGTGTCCACGGTTCATGGTGTTTTTTCTTGTCGAATTCTGACTTTACTTTTCGTTGAAGTTGTTGATTTCTTTTTGTATTGTACTTGAAACGTTGGGGTTCGTTGGGGTTCTATAAGTTTTTGAAACCCATATAAATAAAACTCGTACAGTCAAAGCAAACATACCACAATGACGATAAAAAACTAAATTACGAATACACAACTTGTAAGTGGAAGAAACTCATATTTTCATATTTGTTATAAATAAACATCACAAATGCACATTTCAGATTTTTCGTTCAATAAGATTATTTCTTGCACCTTTTAGAATCCTCTTGTATCCATAGATCACAGGACATTTACGCGACTGCATAGTCTGTACCTGTGTTTCTCATATTTTCAGTAATGATATATGTTACATTGTAAATAAAAAACAAACACTTTGCATACGATGAGTTAGTATCCTTAAAATATGGACTTATTACAAATAAATACATTTCATTAACTTTGGCTTGATGAACGAACACAAATATAAACATACATTTACCAGAAATTTAAACAGTGTCACACTCACATCGTGTTGATATACATATGCAAGACAACACACTTGTGTTTTTCCTAACGAATCAGAAAGCACGAGTGTATTGCGCGGACGAATATATTCATGAGTGCGCGGAGCATGTGCAATACAGAACGTTGTATTTCATAGCCTAAAAATTGCTTGTTTTACTATAACAAGATTCAGCTGGTATGTGATAAAACATGTGGTATACTAAATACTGTATATTCCATACGTGTTGTATTCATACAGTTAATTCAAATTGCAATTCAACGTACAACAATAACGTGTAAATTCAAACTTACCTCCTTCATCTTCCCAATATGCGTCATTGAAAAAACAACCCTAAGAAAAGAAAATTCACATAAAATTTTACTTTTGAATGTTTCCTAAGGGTTAAAATTATCTACACATACGAGAGATCACATGTAGAAACTCTTTTACACATTTCTCTAACATATCCGTCACGAGGAGTTATCGATCTTGTTTGATATATGCGCATATCTGTGATCAATACTAAAAAATGTAATTATTGAGACACTTTGAAAATGCTTAAAATTGTGCACTTATAACAATCAAGTTAAACCTATTCATTCAACAATGTTTGTTTCAGATATCTTAATGCATATACAAACATCTCCTTACAAATCACCGGGAATGACTTTAGATGTAACGTAGGCACATATCATTAAAGTAATATTCTATATAGCACTCTCTATATTACTATCTGTAGGCCTATACCACTCCTCATTTACTCAGTATACAACTCTTAATGTACCCTGTATATCATTCATCATCTGCTCTGTATAACACTCTTTATATCGGAGTATGTATACAACTCCATATACTCTGTATACTACTCAATTTATATACTCTGTATACCACTCTTTTTATATAATTTGAATATCACTCTTTATATACTTCTTTATACCACTCCTTATATACTGCAGGGTTCTCCCCAGGCCATTTAGCTGATACGACTCCGTATCAGCTTCAGTTTGAAATCCTCCCTGTCGTATCAGCTTAATTGACCCGTATCGCCTTAGACTATGAACCGTATCACCTTGTTATTTGTACTGAAGGTGGTCTTTTTACACAAGAAATTGACACTGATTAAATCACAAGGCTGACCCACGTCCAGCAATGACCCCACTGGTCAGTTACACGATAGGCGTTTTGCCACAGGGGGCCTGCAATTAACGGGGAGGGGGCCGGACAACAAGCCCACAGGTGTCGGGCAAGCGTGCTCACTGGAGCCTTAAGCAATTACCACCGGATCTTTTTAGTATGGTCAATAGGTGATTTATTGAGGAAACTGGTGTTGGATTAACAAAACAAACACTTATTACATCTATTATAAATCAATTTACTCACATATGATTGCATTTGACAATGCTGAAATAGCATAGTATAACATAGTATTCTGATGACGTCACAACATCCGGGCTATTCGTAGTTTCAATATACAGTCGCCATTTTCTGGGTCAAACGATTAGCTACGGTTCAACGCACGGAAAAGTAAACAAACACCTGCTTACAATGGTACACACCTGTGCCATACATGGTTGTAGAAACCGAGCTAATGGTGAAATTCAGCGTGGATTTTACACGATTCCGAGCATAAGAATTCACGAAGGGACACAAAACGAGGAGTTGAGCAAGCAAAGACGAACTACATGGCTTGCACGCATCAACAGGAAAGATTTCAGTCCAACGACGCATACCAAAGTTTGCTCAGACCACTTTGTTTCCGGTGAGTAATTTTTATATTGAGTATGCACACTGTGTCAATATCTAAATAACTTTCGCGATACCATAAATGTGATGTCAGTACATGCACATGATATGTATTCACTGGCGGATACAGAGACCTATCCGGGGGGGGGGGGGGTTACCATGTGAGGAAAACTAAATGAATATTTGGTGAAAATACACTTTTTTAAAGAAAAATTCTCATTAGTATGGTGGAGATGGGTCCTGAAGCACCAAAAGTCTCTGGATGTAGAATAAAAGGCAGTGAAGCTTACAGTTACACCATGGGTGTCTAAAATATTTTACCTGTAGGCTGTACATGTGCTTTCACCAGGTATCATATGTGACGTAACACAGTGAGGTGATTCCTACCGACATAGTAATGCTATATCTACCACAGAGCCTCAAGATGTTGTGTATTATTCATATAAACAGAGATATGGTGCAGTCATAAATAATCTTTGTTGTTCATGATCAGTTTGACATAAATTTAAATTAAGGGAATAAAAGTAATGTGTATACTGAAATGTATGTATATATATGAATACATGATTGTTAAAGTAACTATTTCGACTATTTCAATATATACATTGAAGACATTTATATATGTATTATTTTTTTATATTTTCAGGGAAACCAGGTAGTTTATATGACACAACCAACCCAGATTGGGTTCCGTCCCTCAGACTCGCTGGTGAGGACAAGGGCAACACAGATGGAACCAGTTATAGAAAAGTTGGTAGTACTCGTAGATATGAAAGAGCTCATGCAAGGAAGGCACAAAAAGAGAAAAGCATTGTTGCGGAAGCACTATTAGAGTTATCACATTTTGATGTTCGTGCTCAAGACTACTATTCTGACAATGAAGAAATAGAAGTTAAAAGAAAAAACTGTCTTTTCTATTTGTGTGGTACACTTGAAGACCAGCATCCACATGCACAGGTAAATGAAGCACAGTGCACAGCAGATGACGCAGATTTCCCAAGTACAAAGCCTATTGATGAAACTTTGTTTAAACAAGTGAGTGATGAATGTCAGAGGCTTACAACAGAAAATATAAGTCTACGGGACAAAGTGCAGGAAGCAAAGATTAGTGAAGATTTTTTCAAAGATGACAAGAAAGTGAACTATTACACTGGTCTTCCAGGTTTTCTAACATTAATGTCACTATTTGAGTTTCTGATGTCAGACATCCCAGACGGCAACAGATCTTCACTGACAAAGTTTCAGAAGTTGATTCTTGTTCTGATGAGACTTAGACTTAACCTGCCAGTGCAGGACTTGGCGTACAGATTTGATGTATCTCAAGCGACAATATCAAGGGCATTTATAAGCGTCATCCATGTCATGTTCATCAAACTGAAAGATTTCATTTACTGGCCTCAAAGGGAACAATTAAGAATGACTATGCCAATAGAATTTGGAAAAAAATATGGACTTAAAGTGGCTGTAATCATTGATTGCTTTGAGATTTTTATCGAAAGACCATCAAATTTATTGGCTCGAGCAATGACCTGGTCATCATACAAACATCACAATACTGTCAAGTACTTAATTGGAATAACACCTCAAGGGTCCATTTCCTTTCTTTCACAAGCATGGGGTGGACGTGCTAGTGACAAACACATTACAGAACATTGTGGACTTCTAAAAAATCTTGTACCAGGTGACTTCATTCTTGCTGATCGAGGATTTGATATTCAAGAAAGTGTTGGTGTCATGTGTTGCGAAGTGAAGGTGCCAAGTTTCACCAAAGGAAAGTCACAACTACCAGCATTTGAGGTTGAACAGTCTCGAAACATTGCGCATTTAAGAATACATGTGGAAAGAGTTATTGGACTTGTTAGAAACAAATACACAATATTGTCAGATACTCTGCCTATTGACTTTTTGTTGAGTGCCCAAAATGATGTGCCTGCTGTTGACAAGATTGTAACAGTGTGTTGCAGCTTGACTAACTTTTGCGAATCAGTTGTACCATTTGACTAAATTGAATTACATTGTAGTTTATTGTATGGTTTATATAATGATTATTATGTTGCAAAGCGAATGCTATTGTGTATACAATTGCATATTTATTTTTGTTTGTACTGGATTTATTACAATAGCATCATTGCAATAGTATTAACATTCATGCAATCCTGAATGGAAACAATTGTTTCTTTAATTCATTAAAAAATGAAACCTTTAAAAAAAAAAATTTTTTCTTTGCATATAGTTTGAGATCAGGATCAAAGAAAATCTGTCAAGTTTGTTTTGTTCTGGTGATGACAATTACAGGAAATCCACAAATTTTATTTGTTCTGTTGATCATGTTCTGGAAGGATGGCACATTTAAATAATTCCTCAGCCTTTGGTGTTACAGTATTCCAAAATTCCTCATCAGGCTCTATGTTTCATAATAATGATATATAACCATGATCAAATGTATGATCTTTCAATTTGTTTGTTAAGTACTGAGATGACATTCAATTTGGTCTTTTCTTTTGATCATAATCAAATGAAATCTTTCAATTTGTTTTGTGGTAGATGATATTGAGTTTATTTTCTTTTGATCATGATCAAATGAAATTTTTCAAGTCCTTTGTTAATGGGCAAGGATGATCATCATCAAATACATGTATGATCTTTCAAACTTACAATATAAAATAACGAAAGAAATGCCAATATCAAAAAACCACAGACAACTCAAAATTTACACATCAATAACATCTGTCATACTAGCTACCGACATTGAACTTTTTGAAAGATAAAACAAGGAAAAGAATTGTTGGCAAGTCATTTTATTCAAACTTTAAACCTGATAATATACAATGTAATTATCATAATTATAATAATAAATGATCATGGTCAATGTAAACATACACAGAGATCTAGATCTATATATATATATATATATATATATAAAGCAGTGATAAAGCTACATGCGAGTCCAGAGTCCTATCCTATACTCACAGAATTTTAATGGGACTCACAGAATTTACTTAAATTTAATATTGTGGGACTCATTGTTTTTAGCAATACAGTTGAAAAGGACTTGGAAAAATGAATTGTAGATTAATCACTGAAAAAGTTATAAACAGTATACTGATGAATCAAATATCAAATTTAAGTCTTAAGCATACATGTATAAATTTAAATATGATAATTATCAAGAATACACCAAAAGACATTTCTATTTCTGAAATGTCAAAGATACCCATACACTGACTAGCTAGCATTATCAATAATACTGTATGGAAATATACCTGTACAAATATTTATGCATTACATATATCTTAAAAATGCAAATATTAAAAAAATATTTAAAAGAACCTTTAAAATTTTATGCATTAGTACATAGAAATAAACTTCTTTAATTTATTTTTGCAACTATATGCATGTCCCTGAAGCTTTCATCAACACTGGTAACTTGCTAATGTTCATTTCTTAAACTGTGGAAGTTTCCGACACTGCGGACAGTACCAATTACCCTTGGCCTTAGGTGCTCTCTTAATGTTGACACAAGTGAAATGTAACCATACATATGGACAGTTTTGGTTGTCACAACCAACCACACGGTCAAACTCTGGGTCATATGGGTGTCTGTCTTTTGCTGTGTCATCACTGACTGTTGCTGACTGATTTGTTATGTTAGATGCTGTAGTATCGGTACTCTTTACACTGGACACTGCTCTACCACTAGGACTTGACCCAGAAGGTGCTTTACTGCATGCATTAACTGCTCTGGAATAACATTTTCCTACAAGTTCTGGAAGGATGGCATATTTAAAGAATTCCTCAGCCTTTGTTGTTACAGTATTCCAAAATTCCTCATCAGGCTCTATCCTTTCTATGTGGACCTCTTGCTCCGTCCATACAACAAAGTCACAATACTCTTTGTCGCACACAAAAATCTGGGTCTGCACCTGAGAATAATATGAGTGTTTCCTCTTCAAACGAACACTGCCATCTATGCTCTCTAAGCAGGATGCCTTTATATCTGTTGCTTCTGTAATGGGCATAGACCGGACACAGTATGGACATTTTACTTCAACAGTTCCTTCCCCACAACAATCACAGGACACAACAGAATCTGGTGAAGCTCCAATGTATGGGTACTTTGGATTGATGACAAGACCACTCTTACGACATGTGAAGTTCTCATGAAATAAATTCATACTTTGACAATAGGTGTCAAGAGCTGTTGTTTCATGTTGACATCCCCATCTTGTTGCATCTGTGCTGAATTTCACTTGAGATGGATAGCAAATCTGTTTTACTAGACTCGGTGATGGTTTGTCGACTGATGTGGCACACACTGACTTCATCTTTGAAGCAGTCACTCTACCAGTCCTAAAACGAAACCACTGCTTGCATCCTGTCTGAAGACGGGTGGTTGACTCTACATTGGTTGCCTGCAAGTCTGAAACTGTAATTGTGTGAAACAACTCCTTGCAGTGATCAAGTAGATCTCCTCTGTTCATATTACTGCATTCTTCTCGAAACAGGTCGGACAATATGGATGGATATTCCTCACCGAGATGTCTTGGAACATAATTAGAAGCATAGTCTGGCATGAGTGCTAATAAAACTGGTTTTGTGCCTGTGTTGTGCAATTTACTTAGGAAAGTTGACACTTCACTCTGTGACGGTGATGACACATTTGGCAAGTTTTGCCCTAACATCTGTCTTTTTGGCGTCTTTGGTGAGCACAGTTGTTCATCGAGGTTCCTTTTCAGGGTCTTTGCAGACTGGAAGTCAATGTTCTGTATGGTGTCATATCCCACCTTCTGTATCCCTCTTGGTAATAGCCAGTACGCTGGTTCCTGTGTCACAGTCTTTGAATTCCTTATCTTTACTGTAGCATCAACATAAAACAATACTGCTCCAATGTGACTACAGGCTTCCCCTAGCCCTGCCATACAGTTGCAGTGACCTGTGACAATGTTGCCATCCTTCTCACATAAAACCCATGGCTGTAAAGGAGCATCATTCATCCGTTGCGAGTGTTTGACCTAGAATAAATAAAATATTATATTTAATTACAATTTATCATGACCTTTTACGGATCGATATCACTTCCTACTATAAGTCAATATTCATATCTATTTTGACTACAACTGTATACAGTATATAGGACAAACTGTATACAGTATAGGTATAATCATGTTACTCATAATATAATTATATATAATTTATAAACAACAAATTGATCCTGTGCTACACATCTGTGTTAGGAATTGTTACAAAACAGCATTTTCAAAGTGAAGTGATGTGGATGTACATTTATTGCTTGGAATAATTAATTAACAAAATAATTATTGTAGTGCCGATATACTGTACTCAGAACTCATTTAATATAGCCTCATAGGCATTCTTCACGCCGTAGCTTTTACTGTAAAATAACTATCATATACTTATAAAGTAGAGTAAATTCTCACCCGTGCAGCAACAACAACATAATTGTTTGCTGTAAAATGCAGTAAGTCCTTCACCCATCCACAGACGAAATGGTTGTACGATTCGAGGGACTTGAAGGACTTCATCTCGCTCAGTGTGTAAGCGCTCTGTGTGTGTACAAGGTAGTTCACGATGTCGGGGTAGGTGACTTCAGGTAAGCCCTTCTCATCACTTGACCAATCTTTCTTTGGCACATCGTACGGATCAATGCTGTCTATCAACTGTAGTTTGTTAAAGTATCTTGCTCTGGAAGTAGGGTCTAATGTCTCAATATACTTCAATTTTGATGCTCGCGGCGGTTTCGACGCCATCTTCTCACCTTTGACCTGGTAACCTTGTTTGACACACAAAATGGCGGCGGGTCATGATCAATGGGTAACCCGGATGCGTGACGTCATCGAATACTATGTATTCAGTTAGTGATGGTCGCCATCTTGGATTGTATAAAGTACAGACCGGAAAGCGGAATGAAAATCTGGATTTGTTGTTTTTAAGGAAGAAGGGCTCAAATAAAAATGCTGTTTGAATATTTAATCACATTTACTGACAGCAGTATTTCATGCAGTTTTGGAGGAAATAAAAACACTGTACACTTTATTAAAACATTTTCTCTTTCAATAATAAGAACTATGATATAAACTTTTTCATGTAAGTGTTTCCCCCTATAGCACTAACAGCTTTTAAATATTTCTTCCATAAATTATTATTAATGGGGATAAAGTAAGGGATACAAATGTAAAGATAAGAGAAAAATGTCATATCTATTATTCAATGTACAAAACTCATACACCTTTCTATAAATTATATTTTTGCTAGAATATTTAAAAACAAACAATAATAAAAATAACTATTTAAACATAATATTACCCCTACCCCCCCCCCCCCCCCTTTTTTTTAAGAA